GACGTGGATGTTAAAATGTGCAGAGGAGGGAGAGTGGACATGCTGAAGGAAGGATACTGAAGATGGAGCTGCCAGTCAGGAGGAAAACAGGAAAACCACAAAGGTGATTCATGGATGCAGAGCAGGAGGACATGCAGAGGTTTGCTGTGGCAGAAGAGGACGGTAGGTAGAGGCACGTAGTGGCGACCCCTACAGGAAACAGCTAGAAGAAGAATTTCATCCTTTTTGAGCATAGAGCAGGAATCGACCTGATAACTTCCCTAGTTTTCATTTTTCATTTCATGATTGTTAGCAGCAATAACGGGGAGACTTTTTGTCTTCACTTAAACAAACAGTTTTTCTTCCTATTAATTATTTGACTTCATAAGCTTAAAGTTATTCAGGGTTTCTTCCAAAGTACTTCTCAGAAAATATTGGAGATTTTTTTCTGTAAATCTACAACTTGAGTTCAAGAAATGTTCATTTTTTCCTCAGAGTCCTTTTCACACCTGCTGCCTTACTGAAACTCATGGCGCTCGTCTTAAATGACTGTAATGTGCTAAAGCTGTGGTTTGGTATTGAATTGGTTTGAAATATTATCAGACGGATATTCGTGCCACCCTCTTATTCAAAACCCTACCAGTTTTGTATATCTTTGCCACCTCTGAGCTGAGCTAAGCGTGCGTTACTGTTGTTTATGTCATCAGAATGACTGCAGAGGAGGCCGTTCATGACCACAGAAACCTCCTCTGGCCTGAAAATGGGCACATTGTGCTGCGAGCGGACAGGGTCTGTGACCTCAGAGCGGTCTGCGTACACAATGACACGGGCTGTTTGTCAGAACTGACAAAGCCAATCGCTCACGTCGCTCGCACTGTGGCCGCGCTCTGAGCCTTTAAAGGACACGAATCAGCAGCGCTGCCAACATCGACTTTTAAAATGAACGCTGTCTCTATTAATCTTGTTTATGTTTGCGTCCTGAGATTAAAAAAACTTCCACACAGACGAGTCTAAAAGTCAGACAATAAATTTATTAACAGTTTATCATGTAAAACAATAGAAAAATCCCAAAATTAAGTGCTCAGTCAGTTCAGTAAAATAAATACATAAATATAAAAATGGTAATAAAAACAGTTAGAAATAAGTCATTTTGCAGACTTAGTGTCACAATGCTCCCTGCCATTACCAAAGGCGTACGCGCCACATCTGTGTTCACATTTACAGTACATGATGCAGAAGAGCCACACAGATCAGCTGAACCTGTTTCCACTGGTTTTTTAAATTAGATGTCAGTCCTGTGATCCGTAGTTGTTCTGATAACCAGGACTAAATCTGCTCAGTGCTTCCACAGACATTAAACGTAACGCAGGCTTAATACACATCAACACAAAAACAGATCAGCGTGTGAGGGGTGTTAGGAAGGCCAGCTGGTTGGTGCAGTCTGGTGCTCCGAGAACGACAAAAACTACAAAAACTACGTGTAACACGTTATCCAGTGTAGAGTGCGCTCACTAAATTCAAGGCTGTTTTATGTCTGCAATGACAACACGTGGCGCTGACTTGGCTGTATCAGTGATTTAGGCACAGTACCGGTGGAGGCACAAGGGAGCAACGCTTCACTGTACACTGGATGAACTTATCAAAGTGGAAACTTGCTCTAAAAGGGCAAACGATGGAAAGAAAACTGTGTTAGCAGTTGGCACATAACATTTTCCCAAACTATATTTCTCTCTCTCTTTTTAACAATACACCTCTTGTTAATTTGAATTTATTCAAAGATCAAAATACGCTACATGTTATCCAGGAGTTAATTCCTGCACGGTCGCAGCTCTGCTGCCACCGCCATTCGACCATCTAAAGCTGTGCTGTACACAAACCAAGACAGTGTTCCTGCTTTAAAAAACAGACACCGGGAGGAGATTCTCCTTCTTCCAGGGAGGGTTAGGTTGCTGTCACGATGGCAGGGACCCGGATGGTGCTCGGAGCTGCCTGATTTTCATTCTCCACTTGATAGGTGACATCAGGGTGAGCGGTCGCCGCCTCCTCCTCCTCCACGCGGTCTGGCGCAGTGATCGGCTCGTCCACCTCTTCCCGGGATCGTAGATGTTCAAAGGATCTCTCAGCTTCTTCTGACAGACGGTTTTCCTCCTTCTCTTCCTCCCTCTGACCAAATGACACGAACATGTTTTTAAATTACACAGAATAATCATGAACATTGTCTCTGAATTAGACAGCTTCCTACCTCTTTCTTTATCCTGTAGTATTCATCGATGGCGTACTGATATTTGGCTGATGTTATCCCAAACAGGGAGGCCATCCTCTCCCCGAGGTAGTCGCAAGCTGCGGAAACAAAAGGAATACGTGATTATAAAATACAAGCTGATCAAGTCACGCAGCAGAGAGTCAGGTTTTAAGTGTTAGCCAGCTTTGGTCGGCCATTCACAGCTGGCTGTCAGCTTCATCAGGCGGTGACCTCGAGCTGGCACGTCGCACAGTTGGCAGCTGAGTGCAAATTGGCTAAGATGAGAATTAGCACCTCCGAGTCAGAGGTCACAGTCCTGTCAAACTGCCCGACGACAGCCGCCTCAAGTGAAAGAGTTCAAGAACCTCACAAGCAGGAGGTGGAGGGATGGAAAAGAGGATTGGCAGGTTGATGGTGATGCTGACGCCGTACCTGCCCGTAGTGATAAAACTGGACAGTGTTAGACCCGCCCCTCCTATATCACTGGACAGTGTTGTGACAGGAGCTTGTCTGTGTTCGCTCTTCAGTCGTGAATCTGGTTTCTCCTACAGCAGAACGCAGAGCAAGCTTCTTTAATTTATCACTGCGTAGTACTGCGATATTTTGCATGCGTATAGAGTATTGATAGAGGAGCACCAAATACAGATATCTTATTAAATAAATGTAAATACTACGAAGAACACCACCATCCTGACATAATGTTAGCCGAGCCACTGAAACACCACAAAGCTACCTCCTGATTCAGACCTCTGTCTCTCGCTATCATTCTGCAGCCGACTGCAACTTGTGGCGATTAAACGATTGGCCAGTTTGAAGGTGTTGCTTTTGATGACAAGGCGAGGTAATTGCTGTATTATGATAAACATTTCACTGCCAACTTGACACCATAAATCACAGAGTGATAGCAGACTGACTCCATCGTATGGCAACATTTATGGCAGGTGTAGCGACAGTGTTGGCGTGCTTGACAATCTCATTCTGTAGCGAAAGAAAAAAACCAAACTGGAGCAAAAGATACAGGCGACTGACAAATGACGTGATGGGTAATGTAACAGAAGGTTACCCAATATCTACTAACAGTCAGATGCTAGCTACAGCGTCATCTGAAATAAGCGAGTGGCATCATGTGTGCAGAAACTGAGGCGGAGCCAGTGCATGTTGTAGAGATTAAGCTCTCAGCCAGGTTAGGAAGGCCTCGGTGTCCCGCCTGGAATACTGGATGTGGGGGAAGACTGCTAAATAAAACGGATGGGCAGCCAGTTTAAAGCAGTTTTAAATCAATTCATACAATCTTGGTTTAGAAACTGATGGCTTGTTGCTTGTTCTGTAACACTGTGGAGCTGAAACACATCTATAATGACCTGCGACTGGGTGAAAATGATGACATCCAAATATAAAATAACCGAGGACACTGCAGTAAATTGTGTAAGACTCTATGCTTTATTTTTAATCAAGACTTCTTCTTCATGAAAACTTTCAATTGTGGTCGAACATCCATAATTGACTATTAGGACTAAAATTTGACATTTATGAATAAGCAAGTTAAGCATCCTGGAGGTGATCTGAACCTGTGCAAAACCAATAATCTCCTAAAATTAAAAGATATATGCAACTTCTTTTTTTTATTTCTGTGAGAAATAAGAGGTAAATATTATCAGCAATATTACCGCTTTTCCAGTTTCTATTAAACCTCTGCAACATTTCCTAAAATAAGAGCCTAAGTGATGCGATGCAGAGTAAAACTAAGATGACTAAGATGTGCAGTTTCCAGATATATATAAAGTCAGAAGTGTCCTAAAGAGTTTAATAAAGCATATGTAAAATAAATGTTACTACACAAACCTGAGATGGTGGACGTAGCCGCTCTCCACATATGGAACCAGAAGTAAGGCCCCCAGGTCATCTTTGACTGCAGCACGAATCAAATGTGACAGTTACTTAAGAACAAAAAGAGACGACACAGTTTCTGTTATCAAATCTACTGTCCGCTCACTGGTCCTCACCCTCACCGCATCGACCGGGGAGGACAGCAGGTCCTTCCTCTCCTGCTCCTTCTCCTCTCCATCCTCCTCCTCGTCGGTGCTGTACTCCTCCATCGTCTCACCGCTGGAAAAATGGATGATCCGCCGGGGTGCCTTCTCCTTCTGCTGCACTCCTTTATCCAGCTCCTCCAGCTCCACACTCTCAAAGTCGTTGGGAGGGTTTGGACTCTGATTCTGGGGAGACATAACAAGGAAGCAGAGATATTCAGACTAAACAGCCGGTCAGTGAAATTAGAGAAACCAGGAGCTGGAAGATGCCTTTGTGAACAAACACACATCACAAACAAACAAAAACGACAAATATCTAATAGTAACATCTTCACCAAGGAGAACAACCATGACACAGCTGACAGGTGACAACAAGCTACACTTTCGTCGTTAGCAAGGCTGCTATCACCTCGCTAACGGCGGTAATTATGGAGGCGAGACTACCGACCGGCCGCACGTCCATGTTCCGTCCTATCGACACATTAACGTTGGTGAGATAGAGGGATATATCGGCCATTGTTGCGTCTTCTTTGTATCTCGGGATGCTGCGCCCACAGCAACGTCGCGCCTCCGTACGGCCCGGCCCGGAAGTGCCGTCATCCGCCTCGTGCGCGTATGGGTTACGACAAATATCAAAATAAAATATAAATACATAAAAAGAAAATAAAAGGCGTCTTTACTGTTTGACAAACAGATATGTAAATATTCTGAAATATTTTTGTAAATTATTATCAGACTTGTTATGATTTCTTTTATTTATATTGAATTTTATTGTTACATTTCAATTAAAGTTTATATAGTTTATAGTTTCGGTGTAACATTATAAAAAAAAAAATATATATATATATATATTACAACTACATGTTATTTTAACAAGGCTTTCCCCGCTGCTACATGCAGCAGCAGCAGAGAAATCACAGGATTCAAATAAAGGCGACTGTGATGAAGTTTCAGGGTCCTGGTTTTGTGCTCAGTGTCACGGAAACCAGAAAAGTGCGGACCTGCCATTAAACTGGGATATCCGTGGATCAACCTAAATATCTAGGGGACCTATCAAAGAGGAAGGCTTTTTAAATTTTTATTTTATTTTAGACAAATATTGTACGGTATGTGTTAATATCCAAATCACCTTTCTGTACTATAGTAGGTTTGCATTATTTACAGTTATACATAAATACATACCTTTGATCTCCTATTTAAATGTCTGCTAACTGTCTGTCCTCACAAACACAGTGTTTATCAGCCACGCTGGTGACATCTGTGCTGCAGGCAGAGACGCGTGCCCAAGATGGCCATATTAATGTTCACTCCCACTGACATTACCGAGCCAAGAGTAGAAGAAACAGTCTGAGAATTTAGATCACGCTGGGTTTTAGGCTCACAGGCATACACTGACCTCTTACACTGTTTATGCCATAAAAGAGACAAACGAAAAGCATAATTGGTGCCCTTTGAACTCCCATTTAAAGCCTTGACGCGATAGTGTTCTTTTTCCCAATCCTGGAATCAAAAGAATTAGTTCATGTAATCACAGACAGTGGTAGAAGAGAAAATGTCTATAATATAGGACTAAATCTCAGCTATAGTTAAGAGAAAAAGAACATTAAAAAGCTTTAAACTAATGTTAACCCACGGTTTAACCATGAATGAATTATTGAACAGCCTGCTGGAATATTCCAAGAGGCAAAAAATCTGTTAAAGTGGCTGTAACATTTCATTTTGAACCTTATTTCATGTATAACTACAATATTATGGCCTATTATTATAAATTATCTATATTATTACCCTGCTGTGCAAAAGTCCCAGACCAACTGTATTTAAAACAAATGTTTTGCTGGGAACATAAGAACCAGCTACAGTGATTTATTGAAATTGGTTTGTCCAATTCTAAAAAGCTTGAAAGTCAATAGTTGGTAAGACCACCTTTATTCTTCAGCCTGAACTCTCTCAGTCAAGCTTTCGTGTCATGTATTTAGGTAGTCTTCAGGACTAGTTCTCCAGGCTTCTTGAAGGACATTCAAAGATCTTCTTTAGGTGTTGGCTGCCCTTTGTTTTGTTTTCTGTCAAGAGGATCCCACGCTGCTTCAGTAATGATAAGATCTGAGTTCTGAGGAAGCCGATCCATGACTGATAGTTTTCCATTGTGTGGATTTACTATCCTGGTATGATTTTACTGCATTGACAGTGTGTTTGAGATCATTGTCATGATACAAAATGAAGCCATCTGCAATCAGATGCTCTCCTGATGGTGCTGCATGATGGATCAAAATCTGACTGTACCTTTCTGGGATCATACGTCCATTAAATTTGACAACATTCCCAACACTACTGGCTGAGACACTGTCTCAAACCATGACAGAGATACCGTGGTTTACAGATGGGCACTCAGGGTTGTACCTCTCGGCTGACCTCCTCTGGACATACTGATGACAATTTGAACCAAAAATGTCAAATTTGGATTCATCGCTGCACTGTCACTCATTTTCAGTCTAGTTTTTGTGTATCTTGACATACACTCACCCCTTTGTCCCAGTTAACAATGGCCTCTTGACAGCCACCTTTCCACTGAGCACATAAAGCCTCAGTGAACAGTAGACGGATAAAGTCTGCTGTAGATAGTTTTCTTTAGGCCTTCTGCTTTCGTCCCCCACCTGCCCTCCACAGCATGCAGAGATGTTTCAAGTTTTCAGTTAACAGCTCTTTGACTGTGGGAAAAATACTATCTGATGTCTGTCAAACAGTTTTATCTTTGGCATTTTTCAATGACTTTGGAAAAAATGAAAACCAATGACATGTTTTTGTTACAGTAACATAGCGACAATTTCAAATTCTTCACTGAGTCATCTTTCATGTGTAGAAACAATGCTGGTTCATTCCTTGAGTTAGGCGCCTTTTTATGCTTGAATGCTTCACAGGTCAGTGGCAGCGGCTTACGAACAAAAAGACATTCCTCTGAAAATGATCGCGTACCAGGAGTGGCCTGAAAATGTGTGAAAAACAGCCAAAATCCAAAGAAAGACCTTCAGAAAGCCTCAAGAACTATTTACCACGAGCACTTTAACAATAACCCAAAAGTCTGTGTCTATATAAAGACATGACTGGTGGCTTCTGCACAGCACTTTACATTGATGGCACTTTGAATACGTTTAACATCTGACAGAACTCTGATCGCAGGACTGCATCATCTCTGCTTGTGATTGGTCCCACTCATGAAATTACATTTGTAACCAGTAGATGTCAGTAGACATTCATCCAACTCTCTGAGGCAGCTGTGCAATTGAATGGGTGGTGAATTATTTGGGTCTGGGTGCCAATTTATACAAATCACGAGCAGGAACCTGAATATCTGCACATCGAATAATCACTCATCCTGTTTAGTCACGAATTCTCTCCCTGGGTAGCTGAAAAAAGAAATCACTTCAACAGGAAGGATTTGCTCAGGGGGGCCAGCAGCCACTAGCTCTCACAGCTATGATGTCATGAGATCTAAAAGCTAAAGTCACCCCATAAAAAATCCATGTCTGCCTCATTTTGTGACTTCACAAAAATGTTTGCTTGAGGTCGGCACGAGGAAATCAGCTTCATTTAAAAACTGTTTTATTAGTTCTGAGCCAAACTAGACCACCTCATATCGAGAAAGTCCCTCGATCCTCTCACGCTAAGGTTCTTTTAACATCCTCCTCCTTTTCTGTGGATATTGCTTTTGCCCTCTCGCGGGATTCACAGCTTTACCTCTTCCCACCTAGTTTGCTTGAAATAGAGCAAATCATAAATTGTCTCGCTGTTTTTCATTTGTTCAGTCTTGTTTCCCATTAACAGCGGACAATAGCACTTAAACAGGCCATTTGTAATCTGTCACACGATTACTCAGGTTGGCTGCTGGAAATCAGATAAAATTTGTGGAAAATTATGGAAAAGGTCACTGCTGTGAGAAGTTGTTACATATTGTTTCACTGCAGATCCAAGAATCTGCTACCACACTAAGGATTTTTGTATTATACCTGCTCCAATAAAGCAGTAATTAACACAGGTGGGGGCATCAGTCCAAATATCGATAGCATTGATACCAACGCTGGTATCTGACTGATACTAGCAGAATAGGATACTTTGTTTCTGTCCTTTAAGTTCAGTAAACAGCACAGTGAACTGTGCTAAATTATTCTTATTGTTGGAAATGAAAAATGACAACTTAAACATGCAGCATGGAACATGTCGAACCTTTTTGTGTTGACTAGCATGTTTATTCTATTTATAGCTTATAGCACATTTGAACAACAGAAGCTGCGTTAGAGACGGACACATTTACATCCCAGGGCTCCAAAAAACCCAGTTTCAAAATTAACAAAGGTGTGTTTCGTTGTGTTAACTAATTATTATAAAAAAGTAAAAATCTCACTAAAATGTGTCCAGAATTAACGATGATTCATCTCATGACCCTCATCTCCCTACATAAGCTGTATAAGCTGTTTAAAGTATCGGCAAGACGGGATCTGTGTTTATAGCAAAATTTGCATTACTGCACAGCACTACTTAATAAATAAGTAGATACAGCTCCGAGAGATCGAGGCTTTGGATTTTCTACAGAGAGAGCACTTTAAAAACATTTTTTTTTTTGACTGGATCCTCACCTTAAATTGTCCTCTCCAGGATTCAGTTGGAAGTGGCATGAAATCACCTGTGTCGGGCTGGCTGGGGAGCTGTTGTTTCATGCTGATCTGATTTGATTGGCTCGTGCTCCACTCCTGCTGGGAGCCAACACCGAGAGGGTAAACAGTCCCGGATTTGATTCAGCTGCACCAAATAAGGTGTTAAAAAAACAGCAGCCGGTTTGTGGATGTGTTCACCTTTTCTGGCTTTGAGAGAAGCTGTTCGCGCTTTAAATAAGGACTCACTGATTTGACTTCCCAGACTGGAGAAGAGCATATTTATGAAATCAGTTCCAATATAATCGCAGATATTAGGACTGCACCGAGCTATTATTCCTAAACCCTGAGCAAAGTTTATTCAGGTGTTCTGAGAAAACTCTGTGGAAATGATGTGTGTGTGCAGGACGATCCTGTGCTCTGCACGGTATGTGTGCTCCTCGCTAAGGAGTGCATTGTCTCAGCTTTTCATGATGGCATCCATATTATGGCATGCTCTCTCAGCGATGTCCCTTTTACACCCGGAGTGATATGAGCTCTGCTGTCGAGATGAATCATCCCTCTCGCTGGCCCATTGCTTCCAGATAGTTATAGCTTTATACGGCCTCGCGCATACCTTTCACTGAGGTTGTAGGAGTGCCGTTAACGGCTCTGCAAAACACGGGAACAGACAAGGCAGATCTTGAGAGGTGATAATTCAACCATGACAGCTGAAATAAAAATACGCTGTCTGACACATGGTTACGTGGCAGAAATGGCTTAAATCCACATGCAGAGGCTCACTGCTGGGACTCTCCAAACTCTGGTGTTAACAGCACATTCAGACTCTTACTTTTAGATTACTTAGACTTCTTTTATTCACTAATTGCACGTTGACAAAGACAGCATAAACTGCACAGTCCGTGTAGGAGTGAGTGGCCAGGCTCACACTTACACATGTCAGGCCCAAAAT